TATAATCCTTATTTTCAAATATTATCAAAAAAAAATTTATTTAAATATGTTAAAATTTAAAAAAAGTAGATCATAACTATATTTATGATAATTTTCTAGACAAATTTGCCTAGAAAAGCCTACAGTTTAAGGAATAAGTAACTAAGACTTTTTTTCTTATAATACAAAATTAAATACTGTTAGAATATAATTCTTATTTTCAAATATTATTAAAAAAAATTTTATTTAAATATGTTAAAATTTAAAAAAAGTAGATTATAACCATATTTATGATAATTTTTCAGGCAAATTTGCCTGGAAAAGCTTACAGTTTAAGAGATAGCTCTTCAAATTTTAACTATTTATAAATAATTTCAAATTAAATCAAATATTTAATTTTTCAATTTGAATTTGATTTGATTTAAAAATTGATATTTGAATTTGATTAGAAATCAAATATTTGAATTAAATCAAATCAAATACAGAACCCTAGTATATAGAGTATAAAGAGATAAATTTCAAATTAGTAATAATATGATTATATTAGTCTATAAAGAAATTATAAATAGTATTGATGATTGAAAGAGAGATAAAGCAAAAATTGTTTTAAGAGGATAAGATTAACTAAATTATAAGCTTTACTTATATCTTGAGATAGTAACTATATATTCTTGTAATTATATGTTGTATCTTTTATAAGATTATTAAAAATATATATAGAGATTGAAATAATATTGTTAAGTAAAACAATATAGTTAAAAGAAGATAGAATAGAGTATTGTAAGAATATAGTATTAAGTCTATTTGTAAATATTTTAGTATAGATTTTTTGAGTATGTTTGATAAGACTAATAGGTCTTATAAGATTAAAGTTGTCATTAAAAGAATAGAGTAGATTCTACTATATTTTTATTGTTTAGATATATGGCTAGTAATAAGGTAATAGTTAAGAATAATATTAAGAGCTTAGATATATATAGTATCTGAATGTTTAAATATTTTATAGCTTATACCAAAAAGACTATAATCTTTGCTATTTAGAAGTTTTGCAATAGTATAGAGAACTTTATTATTTGTAATTAGTACAGTAAAACTATTATACTAATTAAGATTAATATATAAGTATAGTATATATTGTTAATATCAGAAGTTTAAAAATAATAATTTATTAATAAATTTATAGACAGTCTAGTTTTCAAAATATATTTGAATATATTGTTTAATAAAATAAAGATCAGTAATAAGCTTATTAGATAATTTAATATTTGAAAATTAAATAAATGAATAGTATTAATTAAGAATACTATTAATTGCTTATGTAGACTATATTATAAGAGTATTGTATCTAGTATTAACAATCAGACCAAAAAATATAATTGATTAGTTGAATAAATTTTTTTTAAACAATCGATTAAAAATTAATTATACCAACTACTGTAATGTGCTATATAAAAGATCCTTCTATATATCAGATTCCCTATAAATTAAACTCGGGTCTTTAATATAGGATAAAATTTTGGAAAAATGTAAGAGACCCAGATATACAAATAGAAAAATACTAAGAAAAAAATAAAAAAATAGAATAAACCCCCAATTATCATATCTATACCCATACAAAAGACCCCCGGGTCTAAATCTAGATTTGAAAATTGAAAAAATGTAACAGATCCAGATCATTTATATGGTATATTATAGTAATCGATAATTAATTAATTGATTAATCAACTAATCAATTAATCAATTAATCGATTAATCGACTAATTGATTAATCGACTAATTGATTAATCGATTAATCGATTAATCGATTAGTTGATTAATCAATTATTGTAGTTTGCAAAATTATATGAAATTTTAAGATCATTAAAAAAAAAATAATCACTGATTTCTGATTACTGATTTTTAATTTCTTCAATATTTTTTTGACTTTTAGACTTTACAAAATTTGTGTATTTATTATTTGATTGAATATTTTAATTTGCAACTTCTATTTCTGCAAATATATTATAAAATAATGAGTATATAACCTTTATTTTTATAAAAATAATAAAATTTTTACAAAATAATAACTGCAAATTTAAAAGTTAAAAAAATGTTGAAGAAATCAGAAATCAGTAATCAGAAATTATGATTACTTTTTTTTTAATGATCTTTAAATTTCACATAATTTTGCAAACCAATTACCCTATATTAATATAGCAAATTAACATTTCAAATTATGTATTATCAAAATTTACTGAAGCTTCTAATAAATTAAGAAAAATCTAGGCTTAATTTTTTAATACAGAAATTTTTTGCTTGTTCAGAATTTAATATATTCTAATACATTCTTACATAACTAGTTACTATCGTTGCTACCTCTGGCTATAGGTTCTAAATTCCATTTAACGTTATACTACAATTTTGTGAATAATACACTAAATGCTTGTAATAAAACTATATGTAAAAATCTGGTCAAAATGTATATTTGGAAGGTAAATATCTATAGTTGGGTCCAAGCAAAAATATGCATTTAGAGAGACTTTTATAGAATTTAGAGAGGTAGAAATTTTTACTACTTACGTGCAATTTTTAGAATATACTATTGTTTTTAATTTACGTCTAATTATTGTGGAATTAATTTTTAGAAATTCAATAAGGTGAATTTAATTAATTGAATTACAGGTTTGTTATTCACGTTCATACATATTAATAATAATTTCTAAATTTAAAATATATATAAGCAATCATGTAATGAAAATACATATATATTAATAATTGAATAGAGACAAAAAAGGTAAAATATGATTTAATTAAACAATATATACTAATTAAATTTGTTAATACATTAATATCATCTTAAAAAATCTTTTAACACTAAATCACTGAAAGAACTTACAGAAGAATAAATGTAAAAAAAAAACAATAAAATAAATCTATTTAATTAGAGGAAAAATATCTAGATAAATAAAATTTTGTTTTAAAAACAATAATTGATACAAGAGGTAGAGTCTAATCAGTTTTATTTTGAAGTTATGTGATTGCTAACATTCAAAAACAAGTGTTCTGAAGGGACAGAAGAAGCAAGAATTGCAAGATATTTTTTTGCAAGTACGCAAAGAATTGTAAAGTCTAATCTTTGCTGCTTTTACCAAACTAATAGATTATTTGTTTCTGTTGGTTCAATTTCAGAAAGCGTAAGATATTTGTCAATTTCTATTTGCTCTATATATTTATCACACTGCTACCAAACTGAAGAGAAAAAGTTTTTCATTGCTGATTTTGTCTCTTTTGCAGCCTTTTCTTTAGGTAAGCTTGTATCATTTTTAACTTGACTTGTACTTCTGTTTAATTTATTAAACTGATTTCGTAACCCTTCAATCGTTCTTTATTTTAATATCTAAGTATTAGAACATAAATTTTTTAAATACTATGATATGACCATGTGAGTATTGCAAAGCTAAATCTGCAAATCTTATTAAATAATATTTGCAGGTTTTAGCTTTGCGATACTCATATTATTTTATAAAATAGTATTTAAGAAATTTTGGGTACTCTTAAGCATCTCTTTCAGTATAATTAGCTAACTATAGAGATTATGCACAAGTACTATAGTCAGATCTTTCTAAATGCAACCTCTATAAATGTAATATCTTCCTAAATGCACATTTTTGTCTTGGCTATATGAAATCATTAGAACTAAATATATATTCTATATTCAGCAAATGCATTTTTACTCAAAAGATTTTTTATATCATACTAACCTCTCTAAGTGCACATAGCTAATCAGAAGTTAGTATTTAAGTTTGTTATACAAGTCTGCAAATCAAATATTAAAAGCTGCAATTTAATTGTCTTCTTCTAAATGCAAACCTCTCTAAATGCACGGTTTAGGCTAGTCTGTATACGTTGTATTTATAGAGGTTTGACTATACAATCAATTAAAGTAAACCTTATAGTAATTTTGTCGAAGATTCATGTTATAAAATGTGGATATTAAATTTTAGCCAATTAGCACAACTCTATGATAAAAAAAGATAGTCTTTGACTATCTTTTTTTCATCATGATAATGAATGAATAATTTATTTTCTACTAATTAAAAATTGAACTCAACCTATTGATTTAGATACTTGAGAGCACCCTTCATTTAAAATTTATCTGTATATTCATGAAATAATACAAATATCAGCTATATTATTTCACAAATATATCAGATATATTATACTTACGGTTAAACAGAAAGATAGATTCTTGAATCGAAAATTGAGTAAAAATATATATATTCTATAATTATGTGGCTAGGACTATTGATTTGACAAGTTAGTTAAAATTTCTTTTTTTATCTCATTTACAATATTGAAATTACTATTTGTATTATTTAGCCGGTAAACTAATTCTTTAATTGTTGGAACTATGATACTTAATATAGCATAATTTGATCTGAAAAGAATTTCAGTGGCCTTATCAAATAGGCATAAAAGTTTAACAAGAGCCTGCACAACTTTGAATTCTTTATTTGATAATAACTTGTCACAAATATTAGCACCATTATGATGATAATCATTATTGTTTGAATTTTCAAGATCATTGGTTAGCCATTTAATTGGCCGTTCAAGCTTGATTCATTTTTTAAGAGCCATGTAGATAGAATTCTACCATGTTACTATATCTGTTATTATATCAACTATATTAGCTTTTAATATACCTACCCTGAGTTGAGCTTCTCTTAATTGTTTTCTTTTTTTTTCTCAACTTAAAAGTGAAATTAGTGCTTTATATTTTGTAAGTAAATTGCGTGCAATCTTTAAACCTGCTTCAATACTTAACTACAATATATATGTAATACAAAAAATATTAGCAATTAGGCTTGAGACTAAAAATCTTTCTGATAATCATGTAATAGCTAATTTAATATTAGAGCCATTATCTGTAGTTATACTTAATATTTTACTTCCTTCTAGACCAAATTTTTCAAGCATAGGTTCAATAAAACCAATGATATCATTAGTAGTTTTATATGCATCTATTTCGATTACATCTAATATAAGATCATAAATGCAAAATTTATCTGAAATCCAATAGCAGATTATACCTAGATAAGAATTATATGCTCGAGAAGTCCATAAGTCAAATGTAAGTGATACTGTATTTATTTGTATAAGCATATATTTAATAACTTGAGTTGTATGATTTGTTCTATTTACAATTTCATTTTTAATTATATTTACACATGGCGATTTGTATCGAGAGTCAAATGATTTTAAAAAGGTACAAAACTTTTATTTTCTATTAAAGATAAGGGAAGTGTACAGGAGATAAAAAATATAATAATGTCTCATGTAAGCTTCTGTTGTCTTGATGCTAAATAAGGTTTCAATAAAGTGGTTTCTATGGTTTGCTGAGAGGATTTTTTAAGCTCTTCAACTAAGCTATATTTAAGCAATATTTTTGTAATATAATGAACATCATGGAGGTGATTGATTAAATTAGTTGTTGAACCATACTATACATATTGAGTTTGACAATCTTTGACTTTACATTTGGCCTTAGTTACCAGCTTGTTCTCAGGCTTAATTCTGAGCTGGTCATAAAATTCAAAAAAGGATTGAGCAAAACTAGGTTTATCAGAAAGGTTTACTCTTTTGACATTATTATTGTTATTGGTAGTTTCATTGGCTAAAGGTGGTGATTAAGAATAAGAAACTGAATCATTGTCATCTTGATCTAAAATGCTTGCCCATTAACTTGTATTAGATATACTACTAGAAGTTAAATAAGTAAAAAATTCGTAATCGTAATTATCATCCATAGAGAGCAACAGTTAAGGTGAAGAATCAAAAATCATACTTTATATAAAAAACATTCACAATTCAAATACTAAAACTTTTTTAGAGCATCAAAGAAAAAAAAAAAAAGTCAACTACATGCTAAAAGGAAATATATATTACTCTGGTTATATCAACAATTCAAAAAAATCAAAAAATTGTTTAATATATTTAGATGTCGGTTTAACTAGAAGCATTTGCATATAGAATCAAAAATTTAAAATATCGATATAATCAGACTAAAGATAATATTAACAAGAAGTCTTGAACAATAGTAATAGATAGGCATATATGTATATATGTACATATGTCATATATGCATCTGTCTTATATTACATTATATTGTTATTGCTATCTTTAGCATGTATTTGAACCCTTCTTGGCTATCTTGGTAAAGTCAAAATTAGAGATATAGCCCAAGCTATTTGGGATAACCCAAATTATATAGAGATATAGTCCAAACTATTTGAGATGACCCAAATTATGTGATAATTAGTATCACATTATTTTGACAATAAGTATAAACCTAGTAAATACCTATGTGATTCTAATTATCACATAGTTTGGTTCGTCCCAAATAGTTTGAGCTACATCTTTAGCCAAAATATACTACATAAAGATTTCTCACGTTATATATAATCTTTAACAATTTTTAAACTTTTATTCATATATTTAAGATAATTATAGTTCTGCACTTGCAGATTATTACTATTATCATTGAATTCATAGCTTCAGAAGATATCAGTTCAACAATAGTAAAATTATTTTTAGAATCTCAAGAGCAAGTAACTAATTAAATGGAAACAATTCGAATAATGAAGAGAAATCAAGAATTCAGAATTTGCTTATCTGTAGTATACGTAGTATCAAAAAGAAGAAATAAAGACATATTGCTATCTTGATGAGAAAGAAAGCTACTGCAGTATGTCAAATTTAGATCTATAGTAACTGAATAAGATAAGTATTTTTTTATTAAAAAAAAGTAGTTATATGATATTCATAATAATAATATTCTAATTCATTGAGAATTAGCAGAAATGAAGTTTCTGCTTATTCACATACAGTCAGAGTATTATTAATTAATCCTCTCGTGATCTTGATATAGTGATCGGAGGATTATAACAATAATTTTTGTAATTTTTTGTGTAAGTGCGATTCAAGTCTTAAATTATCCAAGAGTAGTTTATAGATAGCAATGCAAAGATGATAATTATTAAAAAAATTCTTTATCATAAAAATTAAAATTTATCATATTATTGTTGACAGTATCCCAAAAATAATACTGTATCATTCTATATAAAATACCTACTACTAGCGCACTTTCTAAATTTGTAGTAACTAGTACTGTTCAATTTAAAAGTGATATTTATAATATATGAGAAAAACTTTCTATTAAGGATATTATCAACATAATCTAACTTATTATAAAAACTGATTAATGAATAGAGCCAAACAAGCTGATAACATCTCTAACAAAAAAAAAATTAATACATAAAATTAAAACTTAATGTTAAAGAGTTTATAATTAAAAATATTTCACAGTTTATGTATTGAAGAACTAATATTATAGTAAATAAAAATATTTGATTGTTATTTGTTGTTTTAATTATAATGATAATATGTTGCTTCAATAAAAAAAAATATTAAAACTAATAATCGACTAATCGATTAGTTAGTCAATCGATTGATTAATCGATCGATTAATTGATTAATCAGGTTAATCAATTAAATGATTAATCAGGTTAATTGATTAATTGATTAATTGATTAATCAGATTAATTGATTAATCGCGTGTTTATAAAAGTTAATCAATTAGTCATCAATTTGATTAACTAATCAATTAATCGATTTTCGATTTGGAATACTAATTATATCTTTTCTCTGATATATCTTGAATCTGTTGGTGTAAAAGCAGAGGTTTTTTATATGATATATATAATAAAATTGTTTCTAAATTTCTTAAACATATTTGATCTATTGGCTAAGATATATTAAGTCTAGAGAAAAGAATAATTAAAAATTGTATTAGAACTTAAGGTTAAAAGTATTAATCTGAGTATTAATATAAAAAATATTAATTGTATTGTTGGTACTAATATTTTGACAATCTTAATAAGAGATCTAGTTTTTTAAAAGATAAATAAAGCAAAGTATTGTATAGAGTATATTTGTAATTATAGTTATATTTGTAGCTAATTTTGTTAGAAATAGATTATATTGCTATATAAATAATAAAATATTTAATTTTGTATCAGATAGTATCAATACTTTTAGAAGTCTCTGTAGTAAGAGATATATAGTATAATTGAAGCTTAAATAACAAAAGATCTAAGAATTCTGTTTATTTTTCTAATAATATAAGTTTATAGTTAAAGATTCTATAGCTAATATTAGTATATTATTGTGGTGATTTACTATATGTATTAGAAAAGATTCAAGATATTAAAAGAATAGAGTGATTACTAGAAGTACTTGTTCTATTATTATCAAGTTTATAAGATAAGAAGAACTGTATATTAAATTGATTAGTTTAAATATAATCAATATGACTATTGTTAGTATTGTTAGACCAAGTATAGTGAGTATTATTAAAATAAATACTAATATCATATATATTAGAGTAATTTAGAAAATTAATAAGCTTGTATTTAATAGATAAGCTATATGTATTGTTTTGAGTATTAAAGTTTCTAAAAACTATTGGATGAAGGTTTTGCTTAATTGCTTGTTTGATTTAGTTAATAACTATTTCTTGTATATTGTTTCTTTTAATTGTATCAGTAGAAGAAAGATAAACAAATATAATACAAAGTTTGATTTAACTTTTAAAAAAAAATTTAGAGCAATTGCTTCATTAGTATATATTTGGTAGCTATGTATATATAGTTTAAAATAGTTGCAAATTATAATAGTAGTTCTTTTAGCTAAGGTCTTAGAATTAGTTTAGTAGTAGGTAAATAGATTATTATTGCAGAAAAATAGATAAGGTTTGTTAGAGATTTTTATTTTTGTTATACTTGTGATAGTAATATTATTATGAAGATAATAGTTTTGCTATGCTTTTCTTTTAGTTGCTGAATTAAAGCCTTAAACATTATAGATAGCAATATTAAGATGTAGGTCTTTAGTAAAATTAGAATATTGATAAGAAAGCTGTTAGTAGAGTTATCATTTGCATGTATAAGGACTAAAATAGATAAACTTGAAGTGCTATAGTTAGAATTTTGTAAAAATAAAAGTAGATCTGCAAGTATATCTTGTGTTTCATTAGTTGATATTAATGAAAGTATATTAGTAAGATTGGTTGTTCTAGAAGAGTTAGCATAATTAGAGAGAAGAATAAATAGTAACTTTAATAGAATATTATAAAAATTATAGATTAATAGAATATAGTAGTTTGGTAATATATTAGTTTCATATAATAAATAGATATATACTTTTATTTTATTACTATTAATAGTAATAAAAGCATGGTTTGCAAGGTGCTTAGTATTGTTTTGTTGTAAATGTTGTAGGAAGAAGTTGATAGTTTGTAATTTTTTTAGTAAAGAGAATTAATAATAGACAAAAAATTTGTTATAGTATACATTCAAATCATTGATATTGATGATGATTTGAATAGATGTTTGCTTACTGTTTTAAGCTCAGTTCTTATAGCTACAAAGAGTTTTATAGTCTGTTATATATATTTTGTCTAATCATTATTATTCTGGTTCTCTGTATAAATAATTAATTTATTAATTTCAATAGTAATTAATTTTTAATAGATATCAATTATATTCAATATATAATATAGTATACTATATATTGATAGTTTATATTATATATATATATATTTTTTTTCTATATTAGCAGCCTCACCAGTATCTTTTATTAGATTAAAACAAATATATAAATATATTTTAAACTATCTAAGCTATAGATCTAACATTACTTGACTTCTATTATGAATACTTAGTACAGTTTGTTTCACTAATTAAGACTATTGCTTATACTAAAGAGCTATACCAAGTTAGTCAGCAAAACTATAACAAAATAGTTTCAAATCAAAAGAATTTTTAACTATATTTGATTAGCAATTTTCATTTTTTAAACTATTCTCTTTTTAAAATAATAATCTAAATCTAATTTTATATTAATAAACAATTCTATTTTATCTTTATCAAAGAGTTATTGCCAAAATTTTTTTACTCATATCTGCATTTCTTTTTCCTCTTCTTCTAATTTAATCTGTTCTTTCTGATATAGATTTAGCTCTCAAGAGTCTTTTCATATTCTTTTCTTTAATCTTTTCTTCTTATTTTGTAGCTTTGTATTCTCTTTTTTCTTCTCAAAAGCTTGTTCTAAGAGTTTTTTTTAGAAATATTCTTCTGTAGGCTTTCTTTCTTCTAATTGCCTTGGGTCTTCTTTTGATTCTTTTGTTTTTAAGTCTTGGTTAGTTTGCTTAGATTTTTCTTCTTTTGTATTATAGGTATGAAGGTCTTTATCTTTCTTTTTCTTCTTTTTCTTTTTTTTCTTTCTAAGATTTGGTTTTTTTCTCAAGTATTTTTTTTAAACTTCGACAAAGACTTTCTGGTTTCTGAGACATTTTACTAAGATCTTTTCTACTATCTCTAATATCATATTTTTTTTCTTTTTCTAATTTTGGCTCTCTTTGACTTAAATATTGATATATTTTGAATCAAATTCATATCAGTATTCTGTTAGGTTTTTAGCCAATATATTTATTTTACAAGCAAGTTTTTCTTTTTTTTTTTCAAATTTTATTATTAATCTGTGAGTCTTTGATGCTTGCTTTGTATATTACTTCTATTAACTATTCTGCTAGAGTTGTTAATATGATTTTTGGTCTTGTTTTTTCTTAAATCTTGTTTAGGATTTTTGCTTCTGTGAGGTCTGTGATATTTTGTTTCTTGCTTCTTATTTTTTTTTTTTGGTTTTTTTTTTTTTCTTATATTTGTTTGCTGCAATGAATTTGATAGAT